ACTTAAAAAAGACTGCTGAGCATCAGGGCTTAGATGAGCCATTTCAGTGACTGTAATCTTTGCCTCTTTAGGCTGTATGGGAGATTCTGTACGGGGTTAGTAGAGCTAGAGGCAGTTCATCTCATGGCTAGGGATCTACTCAATTCTGTAGCTCCCCAATTTCAGCCCAAATGTCCCTTTTCATTTTTCCTTAACTTTTTTAATTCTGCAAAATCAAACTAGCGAGTTGTTATTTCTGCACCATTTTGTGTTTTCTCATGCTAGATTTTTTCTATTACAATATATGCATTATTAATGTTATTTGTGTGGATAAAAGGCATATCACTGGCATAGAAGAACATGAATAGGGGACTCCACCAGCAAAAATGGACGAAAGTATCTGACAACACAGGAAAACAATGCAAACACCGCATTTATACATTCCCGCTCATTTCATGTGTTTTCCCCCCTTTAAACTAAGACATGAGGATCATTGTCCTCTGAGCAGCTTAAAGTTTAATTAAGACTTGATCTTTTTTTTTGGTGGATATTAATCCTCTTCCTTCCAATTTTTTTCATCTCCCCCCCACCCCAATTCCTGTTCCTCAGGAGGGAATGAGTATGCTCAGTCTTCATCAGGCTGTGGTTTTAAGTTTGTATGTGTACAGGGGAAGAAGTAGTTTAAATATACTAGTATTTTTATGCATACTGAAGTCTGCAGAAATCTCAATCTTGTCAACAGGTGGTCTGGTTCTCAGAGGAAGAAGAGGAGACAGGATTTATACCCCGCCCTTCACTACCCAAAGGAATCTGAGTGGCTTACAATCTCCTTTCCCTTCTCCTCCCCACAACAGGCACCATGTGAGGTAGGTGGGGCTGAGAGAGCCCTCTTGAGAACTGCCCTTGAGAGAACAGCTCTGAAAGAACTTGAGAGTCACCCAAGTTCACGCCAGCAGATGCATGTGGAGAAGTGGGGAATCAAACCCAGTTCTCCCAGATTAGTGTCTGCGTTCCTAACCAGTACAACAAACTGGCTCCCTACAAGGACTACAAGACTTACTATTAGAGATTTAGGGTTGTATCTAATGAACCATGAATGCATTGAGTACATAGGAGAAATCTCTTCCCTATACCTCTGGCACCCCAAACAACATGCCCTTAAGGGTCAGCAGATCCTCAAGAACAGAATAATGTGGCATAGGATCCACACATCCCACACCTTGTGTGAGCTCTTGTTCCATTTGCATAACAGCCTGTATAGTTTCTTGGATCCACCCCATAGTGATGAAGCATAAAGTCTATGAACTAGCAAATTATATAGATGGGCCTGGATCCTATGAATCATTAATTCAGCAGAAGGGATCCTTGCCACTTCCCCAATTGCACTGAACCCTTCCCCCAAGTCCTACAAAGAGCAGCTTCTGAAAGGTGACCTTCAGAAATCACACAACAGCCTGCAAGTAAAGTGGGGAAATCAAACACGTACCACACAAGCTCTCAGTTCCCAGAGCAGCTTATATAAGAGAGGGTATTTTTACTTATTCCCCCTCCCCGGTGTGGCTTTTAGAGTGGGATGTGGGAAGTGAACTCTGTAGTCTGGACCACACTGACACTTCGTAAGATCCAGGCAATAGTACTTTATTGGGCATTACTCAATTAAATCAATTTTGTATTTCCCTCAGTTGATGTTATCAGACAGGTGTTACAAAATGTTTACAGCACTGAGTATAAATTGAATATAAAAGAAGAGTAACTTATTTTTGAGTTGCAAAGAAATATCAGAACCTTTATAAAGGGGCAGGAATATTCATAATTAACATTCACTACAGTGCTGCATCAGCCAGAACACTGAAAACATAATGCCTTTCACAGTTCAACCTTTTTAAGCATTCTTGCAAGTGTTTAAATATCAAACATGACAGCTTTCCGTGCCAAGTCAAGGTCAAGAGGAGATGCTGCTGTTCAGCAGACAAGGGCTGGAAGCCAAAGAACCCTGCATGCAAGCGGAAAGGACTTGGGCATACACTAGCTTCTCTTTCAACTGCAGACCTCAGTTTTATATACTGTTAGCAAACAGAGCTGAAACCAGAGAAGTCAATGGTTACCTTTAACTTCATTCTGACTTTCTTCTCTTTGTCTTTCAAGCTCTTTTCGGTCATAATTTAATCTCCGCAGACACATAATGCCACACTGGAAGCTATTTCTGTTAAAATATTTTAAAAAGCCATTAGGAAGTACAGCTGAAATCCTTACTAATAACAATAAGATTTAAATATGTTTACCTGTGAAAACTGTCAACCATTTTAAGTTGTCCACGAAGATCTTTTTTTGTTAAGTGGTCCAGCATTCTTGCGTCAACAAGACATTCCATAAAGTAACTGCGATACTGAGGCAGTCCCAAGCTGGGAAGCCATTCGTTGCCAATCCACTCATGGTTCATATCACCATAGGCTAAGGTCTATTTAAAGATGAAAAAATAGCAGTGCAATTTAAAATAAAGAGTTTTTAAATATAGCTTGTGCCTTCTTTCATACTGTGGGCTTTAGCTACTGAAAGCCAGTGTCTTAAAAGCTTAGAGCTACTTTACAGAGCAGCTAGAGCACACAGATGTTTGCTAGGTAAAATATGTGAACTATGAAGGGGGTGGACGCATGTTCTCCAAATACTTGGGGACTCTGTGAGTCAGTCATTATTGCCTATAGCTTCCTGGTTCTCATTTACTTCTCTTCTAGAGATGTGCCACTGTTTCACAGTTGACATGGTTACAATAGCAGACATCATTGAAACACTTGTATACAGAGTAGCTGCCACATGAAGAAGGAAGTGGCTGCTGAGTTAAATATTTGATTCTGAATGGATTAGCCAGAAACTGAATACAGCAAAAGTAAAAAATTAGTAGCCATGCATTTTACATTTGGGTTATACATATAAGTTATTTCTGATTTGTCACAAAGCTCCCCTCAGTAATTCTAGTTTGACACAAACATCTCTGGTTAAGTCTCTGAATGTTGTTGACCATATTCTCACTGCAATGTACTTTGAGCCCATGATGACAGGTACAGTGCAAATGTTTCAAAATAAAAAAAATAATCCAAAGAGCTATACTGTATTAGAACAGGATTTTCAATTTTGTATTCCAGCATCAAAAGACAGTTTCTCCACATAATTGGAACATATTCCTAAAGAACATGCTTTAAGAATAAGTTAGGATAATTAAGAACCTGAAAGGTTAAATGGATAGAATTAGGGGGCTCAGTGTTAAAATCAATAAATGTACAATATAAATATTACAAATGATCAAAAATACATAATAGTGTGTAGTGACTCTCTGTTACACTGGCTCCATATTGCCTTTGGAACTGAATCTCCTGGACCAAAATAGAAGGGTACACAACTGAAATACCAATTTGGTTATATGTACCTGATTTGGACACAAGGCGATGTCACATGAGGCCTATATAGTACCTCCTTGCCTTGAGTTACTGATATTTATCAGAACACAATTTTCACTTGGTCCTATATTAATATTAGTATTGCAATAATTGAGCCTACATGCAACATTTATTATTGACCACTGAAGAAGGCTAATAGGCCAAAACACATCTGTTTTAGGGTCGCATAAGGTCCTAATTGTGCTTATTGAACGATGTGAAATTCTTATTGAGGCTATATTTGGGTCTATAATTGTTTTTAAACTAATTTGCAACAAATACATGTATTTTTGATAATTTGTAATATTTATGTTGTATATTTATTGATTTTAACATTGGGCCCTTTAATTTGAATCCATATTTAACCTCTCAGGTTCTTAATTCATTCTTTTGGGGTTAACTTTCCCTAAATTAGGATAATGTCAACTTCTAAGCTAGATCATTTAATAGAAAAAAGTCTCCAACCTGAGCCCAGCTTCCTTCCTCATCTTCCTGATGTTATGTAATTAGAAAAGCAAAAGAACACACAAATATTAGTATTTATCAGATTAGTAGTGCAAGCAAGTTCAAGGTAATGGCCATAATCTAGTGCACAGAAAAAGGCACTTAACCAGACAGAAGAACTCTGCAAACCTGTATAAGGTATGCATTAGATAGATCCTTCAATGTCAGTTTTGCGGCCGCCTGGATTGTGGCACCATTAGAATATTTATCCCAGCATTCAACATTGTACACAGCCGTTCCTGAGCATTCAATAGTTCCTCCAGATTACAGCCATATTGCAAAGGCAAAACAATGACATGCTAATAATTTATGAATGCAAGCATCATGCGTTCAGAGTTCTATACAGATGCATTTATATTCATAGAAAGTAAATCACTTACTATTTAGTTTTTCCACACAAGAAGCAGCTGTTAGTTATAAACCCGAGTGAAAGTTTAAAGTATTCTCATACTACTCAGAAACCAATCCACACGTTTTGCCTACAATATACCTATTACACCCCTGCCCCGCCACTTCCATCTTGGTGGAAAAACATTTTATAGTATGATTTATAAGTTTCAGAGAGGTTAGTAATCAAAATCAGTCTTAACCAAAAAAGATTTAAGTTACGTTAATACTACTCTTTTCAGAGACTTAAGAGGCACATGATTCAAGCACTCAAGAAATGGGAAATGCACTATAAAAACAGAAGCTTCAGTGCTATAACTAACCGTTTGTGGAGTAGATGTAAGATTTTCCATTTCTTCATGTGTTACCCAGACATTTCCTGTGGTCTAATATGACCCCATAGTGAACCAATCACATCCAATGAAAGGAAAGCAGTAACAAAGAGGAAAGGTTGCAGAATATATAAGCAACAGGTACATATAAGGAGCAGGCATGGGCAAAAGCAATGGTTTCTAGATTGTTAAATACAGACTGATGTAAGATGCATACCTACTAGCAAACATACTTCCCATCTAAAACTAACTTAGCCATGGTTCAGATGCAAAGCCAAATCATGCTTTTGATGCTACCGAATGAGTTTGGAAGGAATTTTGGGTTCATGCACTCTTTTCTCCACATCCCTCCTCTCCTTGCATGCCATGATCTATTTATGCGTCTGCTGGCTTTTGGCAAACTGAAGTTTGCTGAACTATGTATCAGCCAAACCAACAAACAATGGTTTGCACTTGCCTGCCAACCAGGACAGAGGAACGCCTATGAAGAAACCATTTCCTGAAAACCAGCAGGGTAGCTGTGGTGTGCAATGAAAGAGGGGAGTACATGAGACAGATTCCTTCCAAGCTTGTTCACATAACACCAAGACATGGTTGCTACTACCTTTGAACCATGCTTCACTGTACAAAATTACAGGTTAAGCAAAATTGGAAACTAGTGCTTGCAATATGGCTTAGACATATTTACACTGACCAACTCCAAAGAAGATTCTTTTGAGGTACTTCATTTCCTTTTATGCAATAAATACATGCAAATACCATTTTACATCTACTTAATATATTCATCTAATGAGGACACAAAATGTTATTTCCTATGTCCTCAACTAAAGCAAATTAGGGAACTGTTTTCAAGACCATATTACTTCTCAAATAAAATATCTAATTACACTCTACATAGCCTAATACTGGTTCAGTCTAGACAAGTTCCCAGGACCCAAAACTTATTGCACAAAAGTGAGTTTCCTTGATCTTTCCCAGTTATTTTATAGTTACCTTCCTTTCCAAGTAGTCTACAAACAGAACAAAAGTATTCCCAAGAGATGGCACCATATTCCTGCACTCAAATCCAGCAAGTGAGCACCAGAGACGGATTTGCATCAGGCCTCAGTGGACTTGCTGGATGCCTATTGTTATGCAGATAGGATGCATACTTCCATGTGGAGTAGGGGTGTGCAAAAAAAACAAACAAAACATTCGGCCCAATTCGGATTCGGCCGAATCGGACAGAATCAATTTTGGCCGGCAGAAAAACTCCCGCATGTCAATTTCGGCAGTACCAGCCCATTGGGGAGTCTTTTGGCCAGCCGAATGTCAGTTTTGGCCCCATTATATCCTATGGACCATTGAAGTCAATGGTGAAAACATAAGGTATATTCTGGGGGAAAGTTACTTTTTTCCCACCATAGAGAACAATTGAGGCAATGGGGAAACCTGTTTGGGGGCTCATAGAATTGGACCTCCTGGTCCAATGTTCTTGAAACCTGGTGGGTATCTTGGGGAGAGGCTCCAGCAGCTACCCTATGGGTTTGGAGCCTCTCCCTCAAAGCCCCTTCCCCCCAGCCCGCAGAATATACCCTATGTTTTTGCCATTGACTTCAATGACCCATAGGATATAATGGGGCCGAATTGCTGCCGAATTTTGGCGGCAATTCCGCAGCAAGCCGATTCAGATCAGAGAATCTGAATCGGCACACAGCAGCCCGAAAGGGGCCTGAATGGGCCATTTTTGGGGGTGCATTCCGTTTAGACAAACCGAATGCACATCCCTAATGTGGAGTCACAACTAGTGGTATGTAACTAGACATAGTTCTTATTTGGACAATCGTCTATACTCCGAACTTTAAAAACACTGAACAAAGAACTTGGTGGCACTTTAAAGGCTGGAAAATGTTATTGTGCCATATCACCTTATATGGGCCAGTGCCTAACATCTGACAAATAGGCTCTGGCTCATAGAAACTTATGCCATGAAAGAGCTGTTATTCTTTAAATCCCACAACACTGCTACTGCTCTGTAACTTGTCACTAAAGCAGGCAAAATAATAAAGTGGGCAAAATAATATAGTAGGCAAGGAATTAGACTCTGATAAATTTTCCTATCCCTTTTCCAGCCAACACAATATTCAAGTACAATTGCAGTCTACCAGTTTTAGGAGAACTACCTCCACCTAGGAGAAAATATATCCTTAAGTAGTTTCCTTGCCAGCCCCCCCCCCAATGGTTAAAAGGTGTTAGTTTTGAATAACATTCTCAGCATGGTCCCAATTCTGGACCCACCATAAGATTCCAATGGCTCCTTGAAGACTGGCACATCTTTCCTTCAATTTGACACAACATATATGCTGAGCCACTTAATTTTTTAAAAAATTACTACACTTGCAAAGTGTTTTAGGCAGCTCACTTTACTTCATGTAGTCAGCTTGCTTTTCCTGAACTTATTTGATCTTGTTTGTTATGAAGCAATATGTGAGGCAGAGATAGATGAGAAACTAGTGAATTGTTTAGAGTTCTAGCAAATGTTAACAACATCTTCCAACAACTCTTACCGTTCTTGACGTAGGAGGAGCAGATGGACTTGTTAGTGACATAATCTCTTGAATGGCAAGTCGCAGCTTTAACCTATGTAGAGGATTGCTGATTCCGATTTCACGCTGTATTTCAGTATCAGATAAGGCTGACATGATAGCACCACTTTTCACATTTGCACGGCAAGCAGCTACGTACCAGGCAGGCATCCCAACCCATAACTGACAATGAGAAAAAAGGGCTGAGCATTATCTACAGGCTCTCAGACGAGAAGCAATATTGTGTACAAACAAATATAATTCAAAAGACTCCTTACTTCTAACCAGACAACAACAGTGGGGCCATCCCACTGAGCAAAGGGCAGCCCTTGTCTCCTGGCTTCCTCAAGCAGCTCATGCCTAAAAATTACAGCAAAACAGAACGTTAGTGAGGTAATTACTTCGGCATATTTGCTTCACTGCTTCTGTTCATCAATTTATTCTTCTTTCAACAACTCCACAATCACAGCACGATACTCATAAAAACTACACAGCCATGGCAAGTACACTGCATAAGGTGAGGAGAGCTATAAACTTATTAGTATAATGACCTCTTCCCTTTGAAAGCCGATTACATCATATTTCTGAAATTCTATGTTTAATTATTAATTGTGCACAGTTGTGCTCCAGCGGCATGATGCAGGAGACATTGATTCTAAAGCATAAATAGTTTGAGTATGTACCGCCATTGAGATACCAGAGAGCAGTTTTAAACAAACACCATGAACTAATACTAAGTCAGCACTGATTTGTTGTTGTTGTCTAGTCACAACCAACTTATGGCGACCTGTAGGAGTTTCAAGGCAAAAGAGGTTCAGAGGTGGTCTGTCTCTATATAGCGACCCTGGAATTCCTTGGTGTTTTCCCGTCCAAATATTGACCTACTTCACTTTCAAGGTGTGACAAGATCGGACTGCCTGGGCTATCCAGGTCAGGGCACTGACTTCTTATACTGAACAATTATTTCAGCACACACATTTTGGTCACTGCACTTTGTTCAAGAGATGAAAGAAACTTTATTCAATTTCTAAAGCAAACTTTATATTTTTTAAACTCTCCACCCAACACATGCAGTGATATTGAATCTCAGAAAGAAAAAAGCCACCCATAACACAAAGCCTCATCACGTCTGCACTTTCACCATGCTTACTTTTTCAGTGAATTTCTCATTACATTACTCAAGACAGACTTGGCACAACCATCTGTCTTCTATGATTTTATCAACTAATTTCCATACTATTAACAAACACACACATTCTGTCACTGATGCATTATATGTCTTTTCAATGGCCTTGTCATAATATTCAGAGCTTATCTTCCATGTATGCACAGTAAGTCTGTAGCCAGTACAGCTGAAATTACTTGTCCCACTCTTCTAAAACTTAGAAGCTATTCTAGTAAGTAACTTCAGTGTCTGCTTCCTTGCAGGGGGATTCTGAGAAGTGGTTTTTGATGCACAATAATTCACACAGCTAGGTGCTACTGGACTCTGAATCTAGCTGTTCTACTCCAGACCAGCACCTCTACTCTGAAAAAACAATTAACGTACAGTGCTTCCCAAACTGGCAGGACCTCAACACTGCTTCATCTGAAGCAAGAGGACACTTTGGAACAATATGAAACATTAGCACATGAAGCTGTCAAATATCAAGGTTGTTCTGGCAACAGCTTTCCAGGGTCTCAGGTAAAGGTTTTACTTATCACCTACTAATTGATTATTTTACTGGAAAGGCCAAGGACTAAGCCTTGGATCTTTTGCATGCAAAGCAGGTGCTCTCCCACTGGGCCACAGACCCTCCTATAGTGTCAGACGATGATCTGTAGTAGATGGCTTTTAGGGAAGAGTACTTATCTTGATGTTGAAGAATATTACTGATCTTCTCACTGAGAAACTCCTGATTTTAATTCTTATCATGAAGATGTTAACAAGCTTTTATATCATTTTTCCCATTAACATCTATCCCTCTCTGGGTTTTACCTGCTCATTTTAATACCATTTATATAACCTGCCAACCTAGCAGTTCGAAAGCAAGAAATTGCAAGTAGATAAATAGGTACCGCTTCGGTGGGAAGGTAACAGCGTTCTGTGCGCCTTGGTGTTTAGTCATGCCGGCCACATGACCACGGAAACGTCTTCGGACAGCGCTGGCTCTTCGGCTTGGAAACAGAGATGAGCACTGCAACCCTAGAGTCGGATTCGACTGGCTTTCGAGCAAGGGAACCTTTACCTTTACTATATAACCTTTTATACATCAATGCTACTATTGTACGTACTTTAGAATTAGCCTTTGACCATGATAAATAATTCACTCATTCATCAAACCCTTCTTGTAAAGAGATTAGGATAGATGCACACATGGAGCACTCCACCACCCCTCTGTGAAGCAGGTTAGGCTTAGTGACAAAATAAAACCCCCCCCCCCCCCCCCCCCAATCACAGAATAAGTTGCATGGAACAAGCAGAGACTTGAATGTAAGCCTCCCCAGGCAGAGTCCAATGGTAACTATTATACCATACTCCTAAGTAAGTGCTAGTAACATCTATGTTGCAAGAAAAAGCACCTCATCAACAGAACTACGAACAATGAATAAAAGTCTACCTTTACTTAAAACATTCCCCCAACACATCACACATCCACAGTCTGCACAGGTTAATTAGAATAAACTTACCCTGATTTTGCACTACCACATCAAATGGCAAATTAAAAAGGAATAAAGCAATGAAGGAAATAAACTTAAGATTAAAAAAAACTAGTGTTTACTATGAACAAAAACTGCAAAACATGCACTCCTTAGGAAGATAGTTATTGAACTAACTATATTGCCTTGAATCCTAACCCTTTACTTTGTCTCCACAAAGCTTTCACCCTTGTATAAATGATGCTCTGTTGCAGAGCATGCTCCTCTGGTGCTATGTCCTTTCTGCTCATTGAGAGATGTTGGTCTGCATGAGTAAAAACTCTTTAGCAGTGGAGGAACATGCTGTAGAAACAGAAGAGTTAGGATACAAGCCACTAAGAAGAGTAAAATCACATGCATTTTCTACACAAAACACAAAACAAATGGATTCTGTCCATGAGAGTCTCAAAAAAAACAAATTTCAGAGGAGATGTAAAAACCCAAAGGAGTACCTCTTTACTAAAGCAATTCAAAAGATTTTTACTGAAGTAACAATACATTTCATCAGAATATAATCAACATTAAACATTATAATCATTTTTGTGCAAGTCAAAGTGTAAGCAATACACTGAGGAAACGGATTATTAGCATCAAGGACACAAAGGAGATGAGGAGGAGAGCTTGGATAAATATGAAGCAAAACAGACAAAAAACTTCATGTGAAAGAAAATGTACACTCTACAGAAGGTAGGCACTGTTATTCTGATGCTTTTTAGAAGGGCTAGTAAGCATTTTAAACAAGGCACTTCAGCTGCATCCAAGTTTAATGAAAATTCAGATTTAACATTACAATAAACCTTGGAAGAGTTTGGTCTTACAGGCATTGTTCCTCTTAGGTACAGCTCTGGAACTGAAACCTTCTGGGTTTGCAATGAACTATATTTTTTATTGCCAAGGCTTAATCTGCATTGCAGGCCAATTGCCATGTAGATACAATAGACTATGATTTGATACAAACTAGGAAGTCTTCAATTCCCAAGCCAGCCTTACGTTCAAAGACTTCCAAGGGTTATTTTAGTAACAGGACACAATTTATAGCAGGGTTCCCCAATATGATGCCCATGGATGCCGTGGCACCTACCAGTAATTCCCTTGGCATCCAAGACTTCAGAAAGTGGGTAGGGACACTGTAAAGCAAGGCTTCCCTCATTCAAATGAGTTTTTCACTGGAGGATAACGAGGACTGGCAAGTAGCTGGATTTTGCTTAGTCAGTGTGTGGCTCCATTCCCCCTTCAGGATTTCCTTCTTCCCAGGTGGGGAGAGGAAGGAGGTATTCCATTTGATTCCGCTTCCTGAGGCAGCCATTTGGGCTTTAGTTTAATCTCCTGTGGAAGTCATATTGGGGTGGCACTCAACACGCCCTCTTAAAATGTCAAAGGAGCCCACAGCCTCAAAAAGGCTGGGGACCCCTGGTTTATAGCATGTCTGAATGTAGCCAGTCAGCAAATTGTCATTCTGATAGATGGCATGGGCTTACAAATACAGCAGGGACATAATTAATGAACAGGATGTGCCGCTTATAAAAAAAAAAAGGGGGGGGGGGGGATACAGATTGAATGGCCATGGAGATACCATTAAAATTAATAAAGTACAGTTCAATTAACTTGTTCCTTTCTTCCCCCGATAAGGAAAAGGGTCACATGTATGAGATTATTTTAGTTTGAATAGATGTCAAAGTTTGCATTGAGAATAGAATACTAACAAGCAGGAGACCCACAAGGACTTCCCGGGGGGGGGATCTCATTTCCCCCGCTCCTCCACCATTGCCTCTTTCACTTCCCTAGCAGCTCACACAGCATCTCTCCCTTTCCAGCTTCTGTCTGTCCTTCCCACTCATCCATCAACCTACCTTTATCTGCCCCCCCCCGTCTTTAGCTTTTCCCTCTCTTCCCAGCAGTCTCTCCCTTGGAAAACTCTGGCCAAATTGTTTAGTGGCTGCTGAGACAGGTGCAGTTGTGCAGTGAGGAACACAAGGACTTCTAGGAGATACCTCACTTTCCCCTGTATCCCCCACCCACATTACTTCCTGTTTTCCTCCACTTGACAGGTCCCATATCCTCACTTTTCTCTGCTTCTTTCTCTCCTTCCCACCCACCAATCAGCCTTTTATTCCTCCCCCCATTTTCAGCTATATTTATTTACATCATTTATATCCTGCCTTTCTCTGCAATGAGGGCCCAAAGCTGCTTACATTGTTTTCCTCTCCTCTATTTTATTCCCACGACCAGCCTGTGATGTAGGTTAGGCTGAAAGTGCATACTGGCCCAAGGTCACCCAGTGACTACCATGCCAGAGTGGGCCTTCCAGTTCCTAGTATGAAACTTGGAACTACTACACCACACTGGCTTTCCTGTGGTGGCTGCTGCTGAGGACAACCCCTTCTTAAAGATACATTTTATCATTTTGGAGGATTTTAATTCCCCAGTGTGTTGTTGTTGTTTTAGATTTCAAATTGTTTTGCAAACCTGGAGCTTTTCTCAAGTTTTTAGAAAGATCTGTCTTGTTTGTCCACTGCCAAAGTCTCTAGATTTAAGTAGCCACAGGTTAGGGCCACACTAAGAATTAGATATATTGGTGCTGGGGGTGGGGAACCCTTTGGTCTTAGACAACATACTTTGTATATAAACAAGAATGAAGCCCCAAAATTCTTACACACAATATGTAAAAAATGTTAAAGCTGTTCACCAATACAGTTTGAAGGCCAAAAGCATGGCTTTGTCAAATCATGACATTTTGAAGTTACAGACTTGGATCTCTGCTGACAGAAGCGATTTCTGCCAAGGAAACACAACTCGCCTCCCCTCCCCCACAACAGTTCAAAATGATCTCTGAAATGTTGGTCCTGAGAGACAAGGGACCCTTAGGAACAAAATGGGGGAAGAAACCCTCACCCTTCCATTAGTGGAACTTTGGTGCTGAATCCAACCAACACTCTGTTTACGATTTCAATTGTCTTACAGAGGGAAACTTTTAAATAAGAACTCTCTTCAGTAAGTATGAAGAGGACTCAAGAGGTTACCTTAACATTTTCCAAAGTAATAGTTTTGTTTACTGAACAAAAAATATATTCTGTAGAATATGTTCTTTAAATCAGAATCTCAAGTATTGAGTTCTATAACACCAGTTTTACAATACATTGAGTTGTGATATATTGTAAATATATGCTATCAGCTCTGAATGAAACAAAACATCTAGTCTATACATATTATCATTGCTCCTTGACTGACACTAGTCAGTCAAAATCCACCCAAAATCCTCCTAAATCATGGGAAAAGATCTGTGAGACCCCTGACCCAATTTGGTTATGGTTTTTTGTATCAGATTCCAGCTCCGGTCCTAAAATTTGCAGTTCAAGGCACTGTAGGTCAAAAATCATATTAACTACAGATTTACTTAAAAGCAAAAACAAAAACCAGCACACAGGGTAGCAGCACAAAAGGACTAGCAGAATAAAAAATATTCTATTGTTCTGCCAAACCATCAAGGTGTGTGGAGCCAGTGAAGTTCCCACATGAGAAAATTCCACAAAGTGCCTTCCATTTGATGAGACTCTCACGTTCCTTCGCAGCAGAATCTACAAAAGGGCCTCATGACTAAATTCTTGCACCACCACTCTGCAAGTATTTAAGAGGCTACACAACAAGCACCTTGAATTTGGTCCAGTAACAAAGTCAGTGATAGTGGAGCTCACTTCACTGAGGCCCAGACAACTGACAAGGGTATAAGTTAGGGAATACTGACTACTTTCTCAATGCAAGCTAAAAATTATGACATCATAGAGCTAAGAATAGAAGAAGTGCACTGGTAGTGTAGAGGTACATTGGCACAGAATATAAGCCTAAAAAGACAATCATATTATATTCATATCTTTTCCCAGGGTTCAGTAATAAAGATGCCAAACTAAGAAAACTGGAGCTATGGTATCATGAATATGGCATACATAAAAGTTTTCTTATTTTGAGGTGCTGGGTAACATGAAAATTAAACTAGAGCAGAAAATACACATTGTAACATTACCACAGTTCAGAGATCACAACTAAGGAGAAAATAGTGTTGACTTACTTTTTTTGTAATTTTCTATTTTTTTCTGCTTGTCCTCCCAGTTTGCCAAGTCCCAGTCCATCCTGAGTTGAACTGTCTGCTTCCATTACATTAACTGCAAGAATTCAAAAAGCTACCATGTTGGAATCTTAGTACGTAGTAGAGAGAGAAAGTAATTAATGTATGTAGTGTTTATCTCAAATTTGTTCCCACACAGGCCTTACTTGAAGTAAAACAATGTATGATTCAGATATGCATGGTGGTCTGGTCAATCACCAAGACTGTTTCCTAGTTTCGGATGACTTGGAATTTTTATGTAGCCAAACAACAAACTTTAGACAATCTATATGAATATATAGTTCAAAATACTCTCTGATCTACAGGATTCAAGAATCTATTTAAATACTCTCTTCTTCATAAGGTAGTGGGGGGCTGAAAGGTTTGCAAGGGAAGTATCAAAATGCAGAAGCAGCTTACAAAGCAATACAAATAAGTCTTTATATTTGGAGTGAGAAAAGTACCTTCCTTAGTATACAAAACCAGATAAGTTATGGTAAGGGTGAACTTTCACCCAGACTTATATGATGGATACCATATAAGCATGCACTTCTAACTATTCTTACCACTGGGCATAAATACACAGCGTTTACAGAGAGTTCAGATATGAAAAGATCTACAGCCTTTCTTCAAATCTGTCATCACACACATTTGTGCTTTCCACTAAGTCAAGTCATTCAGTATAGACAGCATGTTGTTGTCCATGACTTTGGTAAGAAATGTACCTAATGGTTACTCTTGTAGCTCTGCTACTTGGGTTGTCAAGCCAGTACAAAGCAGGTATAAACTCCATGCCCTGAAGGTCCTGCTGCGGAGCGTCCCAAATGGGAAAAGGAATCGCACACTGGAACAAACATTTGGTGGCCGAGCGAAATTAAATTGAAAGCGGATCTAAAGTTGAACTGTGAGTTTGAGTGAAAGCAAGAACCACCGAAAATTTAAGCCAGGAACTTCCCTTTAAAAGCAAGGGAGGGGGACTCTCCCCCGATAAGAAAGACTAAGCGATTTTATGCTATGACGAAAAGGGGAGCGAACAATTGAAGCAAGATAGACTGAAATAATAAACATTTAAGAACTTACCAAGCGTATTAAGGAGTATCAGAGACTGTGATAACTTTTACAAAAAGTAAACATTACAAAAAGTAAACAATCTCTAAAAATGGTGCCCACGAGAAAGGATGAGAAGGAAAAACAAGTTAAACCAAAACTTCCTGTTGGACCTGCTGGACCAGCGAGTCCTGCCCCTAGACAGGACACAACTGCAGAGCTACAAAAGATGCTAACGGAACCATTGCGACCCCTGCTGGAGCAAATAATAGCATTGCACAGCAAATTCGATGCACAGCAACTGCAACTGGCTGATAGCCAAAACAACAGACAAAACTGAAAAAGGAGTAAAAGAAGTGGATGCCAACACCAAAAAAATGGGAGAAAAACTGCAGGTGATCGAAAAAAAGAGTTTGATGGAAGAGTCTCAATTGTTACAGCTAAAATGGAGAGAGCAAGCTATGTCTTAAGGTTTCAAGGTGTTCCTGAAGGTAAGACTGAGAATCTGAAACAGATTATGTGCGATGCATTAGGCCCTTTGGCAGATATAAAAGCGGACACATTACAAAGCAAAATAGATATGATCTACAGATTTTATCCAGAATTTATAAGAAAAAATAATCTGCTGGGGGAAGTGATTGTGAGATTCTCGAGAAGACAAGTGAGAGACCAAATTCTCAAAGCGACAAGTGGATCTGCCTTGAAAATCAAAGACAAAGAAATAAAGTGTTAAAGGACATGCCATTTGAAATAAAAAGGAGTAGGAAATATAGAGACCTAGTACTATTCCTACAAAAGAAAAGCATTCCCCACAAATGGATGACACCCGAAGGCACAATCTTCAAATTCATGGATAAGAAAGAAAAAAATTACTCTGTTGAAAAGGCACAAGAATTTTTGCATCTACACAGTCGTCCACCAGGGGAGAAAGAACCCGAGAAAGAAGACAGCATCAATGAAAGTGAAGAAGAAGGAATAGCGACAGAATCAGATGAGGATCAAGACTCTAAGTTAGGGGCAGCTGCCCCGAAGACAAGCTATCATTTGAGAAAACATAAGGATAAGAAAAAATGAGATGTTATTACACTCTGAAAACTCTATATATTTTAGTAATTAATTCTTATAATGCTTTTTAAATTAGGTCAAAACTAGTGGTGATTTAAGTCATTATATAAGCTAAAAATAATTGATAGATGACCACAGTCAATGTATTGTTATTGAACAAGGAGCTTAAAGCCAATTTTGATAAGTTGTATGTATGACCACCATCTCTTGGGGTTTTAGTGGGTTTTCTTTACTTTATCCCTTAGTAAGTAGCTACCCCTTCCCTATTTTCATTTTAGATTATTAGTATGTAGTTTTTAGAACTGCAAATAAAAAAATCCCCTACGGGGGGCTCAAAAAACCCCACACAACTATCTTTCTTTACACAAGCATGACACGTATAGTTTCCACTTCGGCTGATAAGTTACCAACCTTGACCCAAGCTCTCTTTGCTGATCTGTCCAGGACGACCCTTTTCTTTCTTACCAAATAGGCGCCCAATTGAGGACTTGATTCCCTTCTTTTTAGGTGCTTTGTGAAGGGAATCTTGGCTACTATTGCTGCTGCTGGGATTGCTTACTTGTCCATCTTGGGAACCTGTAGAACTATAGAAAAGATACCTCTAAGTCACTATACAACTTCTTAAAATTAAAGGGCCAAACTACATCAGCATTCAGAGACAAAAGATGAATGAAGAGCCACTATAAGAAAGCCTATTTGCATAACTGAAACTGTACACCATCACCAATGCTCCCTCTAAGCTGTGGAGTCTTGTGAGCAAAAATCCTACTTTGTGAGCTACTGGCATTAACGTTGTTAGCGAGCGATATGGCTAGTTTGGTCTGGAGCCATCCTTCCTGAGCTAAGACAAAAATGTGTGAGCTGGAGGACAAAAAACTGTGAGCTAGCTCACACTAACTCAGCTTAGAGGGAACACTGACATCACTAATAATAGTCCACGAAGTGAATATGAAATCCTACAGTAAGTAATAAATATACACAAAAGCACACCACTAGTGCACTAGCATACATATGTACGTGGTTTGTACTAAGATTACTGGCAGCCAAGCCTCACAGGAGTCCAGCAGCCCACCTGCAAATTTCTGGCTGTTGGGTTGGGAATTGTAACTGGGAGAAAAGCCTGCAATGAAGTCCCAGAACTGCCAGAGGAGGCGATGCTGGCCACATAAATCTGGGGCCAGTTCAGTCCTTCTTTTTCTTTTAGATGGTTTCCACACAGGTACAGGCTGGCGTGGTCCTCCCCCCCCCGCAACTGCAAATAGAGTGCAGTGGCAATGGGGCTTCCACATGGCAGGTCTCTTCAATTTCCCTGCCCCATCCCCCAGCAGTGCCCATCCCCCTCCACCGAGCCACTAGGACTTTTTAAAAAATCTGCAACTGAATATCATTATAATGTGTAACTGGTTCCTTGAATTCCCAGCTTTCATTTAAAAAAGTCAGAACATTATGCATGACAGGAAGCCAAAGCCTGGAAAGCTAAGCAAGAATACAACCTAGGGGCCATAAGAGGTAAAACAGAGCTAAGGAGCTCAGAGGCAGAAGAGTTGAAGGCTGAAGGCTATGAAATCGGAACCTGGTAAAGTCTCAAGGAGACAGTGTTGAGGAAGGGAAAGCCAAAGAAACAAGAAATTGGAGAGCACACACTCACACTCTAGGGAGTCACTTAAGAAGTCAGTTGGAAGCTGGAAGTCTACATCCAAGGAGATTTCACATACTGATTTTAAAGAGAGACAGGTAGACCAATCAATCCTGGACAGATCTCTAGCTTTAACAATTTTTATCAGAAGCTGCTTACTAACAAAAAAAAAGTTGCTTACTTTCTGAGATCTCTTATATCTTCATGGCTCACGGTATGCAAGGCTCCTTTATAGGCCCTGTCCAAATGCAGAGATCGAGGTGAAGAGGGTGGTGAGGTCTCACACTTTATTGTGGCCTTGTCATCTCTAACGTCATCTCTAGAAACTGGAGACTAGTAACAAAAACATACAAAAAGTTTGGTGTAAATCATTCAATTGTTAAAGCTTCCAGCAACGTTCTATTCTTAGCCTTTCATTTTTCTCCATTTGCCTCTCTGATTTTGAACAATATTTCCAAGTACCTAGTTCTCTTATTAGGTGCTTTCTTAGCTAATGATGCATTAGTGACACAGGCATTTCTTTATATTCAGCACCAACCACATTTCTGTCACATTTTTATCCTGCCTTTTTTCCAAAGAGCTTGGGGCATGACATATGGCCTCCTGCTATTTAAAACCGCTCTGTGAAGTTTTAATGGAACCTAGACAGAGGGGGAGAGAACGGCTAAAGATCCCTTTGTGAGCTTCATGGCAGAAGGGAGATTTCTCTTACTCTGATATCCTACCACACCCTACCAGCTCCAGTATTACTGTGCATACTAGCAGGAAAATTAGTTCATCCGCCACACAACTAAACTTACGTAATTCAGGAGTAAGAGTAAATATACTGACCACCCCTTAATAAGAAAACAATTATTTGAGAATTACCTGATGTCTGACTAAGGGGCAGAACATTTAGCAAACAATATGAAGTGTTAAGGGATGTGGAATGATATAGTAGAGCCTGCTCTCACCCGATCCTGGAAACTAAGCAGGGCTGTTACTTGAACAGGAGACCACCAAGGAAGACTTAGCAGAGGAAGGCAATGACAAAATCACCTCTGCTTAATCCTATGGGGTTGCCATATGTGGGCTGTAATTTGACAGCACTTTACATACACACTTCATGAAGTACTACGTTTTTTATCATTGCCCTTCCATGTATGACTATGTGCAGTTCTCATTTCGAAGGATCCAGAGACTATGCAGCTTAGGTATGCAATGGGAAACATTTCTTCTTTTCCCCAAGTTAGTAGAAGTTTACACAAAGCTGACATTTCCTGCAATGCTGGACATATTTATTTGAAATAGGTTCCATGAAACAAAGTTAATGACTGAAATTCAGGGGGACTGGGACCACTTGATTTTCCTTTTTCAAGAATAACATTTGCAGGGGGCATCCTGGAACATCCCCCCACCCCCCACCGGCTCTAAAATTGTTTTAAAAACAAAACAGGGGATTTGGAGTACAGCTTTTCAAAAGGAAATGCTGCTGGAATACAAATACTATTTTCTTGATTTTCCTTTTAATAGCCTCCCAACGCCCAAACCCTGCTTTGTACTCTTGGGAATTCAAGGAATTCAAGTTTGCAAGTTCAGGGCAGAGTACCCTGAAAGGTAACTGGAAAAAAAATGGATGCACTTCCTAATAGATCCCAAAGTTCTGAGGGGAGTATGACTACTACAATAAAATATCTGTAAAATATCTGGTGCAACATGCTATCACTGGGATCTAAAACATATAGTTCCCAGGCCTTTCACTCACTGTTTTTACTCAGTTTAAGTCCAGTGGTACCTTTAAGACCAACAAAGTTTAATTCAAGGTAAACACTTCTGTTGTTGTTAGTCTACAAGGTACCACTGGACTCAAACTTTGTTCTGCTGCTTCAGACCAACACGGCTTCCCCACCTGAATCTGTTTTTACTCAGTTTTATCCACCACAATCCTCTAATTTAAAATGACTTTATACAGGTAGAAAAAGGTATGTTCTGTGGCAGAATGCCCCCACTAAAATGTTAAAGTCAGGCAAACAGCAGACTCACATGGTACCCTTAATATGCACGCACTGCATAAACAACTGCACTGAAGACGCAGCCCCCCCCCCCCACACCTTTAGTGTTCAAATACACAACAGTGACAACATTTTCCAACATATTTCTAATTAGTGAAATGTCCATCAGTACTACTGGCAGGGATGACCAATGGAGGATCTTTCTACATCAGGCCTCTGCAGCAGTCTGGTATGACTCGTGTCCCTTCTGTGTTGTGCTTATGACAGCAGTCCTAAAATGGGAGGCAAACAGGATTCAGTACAGGACTGAGTCCCTGCCTGCACTGATGTTGCACCACTGCTGTGGGGAGAGAACAAGCAGAACACTGGGCGGGACACGAGTACAATCCCTCCTGCTACACGTCCTGCAGAGTCTCAGCCCACACAGTGCTCAAATCAGAATACATACCCTACCTATTCAATTGCTCTTTCCTCTCTGCCTTCGCTCTGGAAAGAGAAACTATTGTCACAGGAAGAGCAGAGGGGAAAGGGCTTGCCTGGAAAGCAAGCAAGCACTGCAAGCTGGCACGAAGAACACAATACTGCTGGCAATTGGCTTGGCCACTTTTTGATTACAAAGGTAGAAACAGACTACTGTAGAGAATGATGCAGAAGTTAATGGCTGAAGGTTTACCTTTCTACGGTGCTTCCTTAAATCACTAGGCTGACAGATGCATGCAAAGAAGAGAAATTAAGATAAAGCAGATTTGCTGATGAATAAAAACTAGAAAGCATCATCAACACAAAATGAACAAGAAAACTGTAGTGGTCATAACATTCTTTGGGAGAAGCCAAAAAAATGTGTTCCAGTTAACTGTTCTTGAAAGCATTATGAAAAACAAAAACACACTTCCATCCTAAAAGCATCACCATGATTGGAGTGCCTTGTTTGCAACACTATATTTTGCAAAACTGTTTATTCATTCATGTATTCATATAACACCTTTCTATCAGAACTAAGAAGAAGCTAGGATCCTCCTTCAGTGACAAAGGTGACTTTTGTAGATCTTCCTTCATTATGTAACAGTAGCATTAAACATTCATTTCTACCTTTTAAATACTACTGTAGGTGTTTAAAGAGGAGTGCTTCTTGAAGGTGCTGCATGATACAGAGCCCCTAAGAAGGAGCTTCATAGTAAACAACTTGGAGACCAATGCTTAGGTCCACTGGAGTCATACCAGTGAGAATATTTTAAACACAGTTAGGAGAATAGGAGCAAGCTGTGTGCTCTCCCACCCACTATGGAATACTAATTCCCTTCATGTATGTTTGATATATCAACATATTTGTCACCATACAAACTTATATTCAGATTCTTAATACGAATTATTTCAATGAACACATAACATTTGAGCCAACTCACTTTCTCTACAGTCACAAAGCTTTAGAAAGAAACTGTTTTTTAAAGGAACACAGGGGTCCAATTCGGCTCAGGTTTTCCTGATCCAAAATGGCCCTGGGAGGGAGTTATTTGCCCCATGCATGCACACAGAATAATGCAAATACAGCTCCAAAATGGAAGAAAATAATTCGCCCTCCTGGGTCGTTACCCAGACCCAATTCATTAAAAATATATGGCATGGTTCAGCCCTTTGACACGAGGAAAGGTTACTTTGGACTCTATCCAGCAAACATTTTAAAGCTGCAGGAGCACAAGCTACAACTTTGGAATTTAGAAGAGCCCTGCTGGATCACACCAATGGTCCATTTAGTCCAGCATCCTGTCTCACACAGTGGCCACCAATGTTCCCTCTAAGCTGTAGCGTCCTGTGAGCAAAAATTCTACTTTGTGAGCTACTGGCATTAAAGTTGTGAGCAGGTGATTTGGCTACTGCATAAATTAGTGTTCTGGAGCCTTCCTTCCTGAGCCAAGACAAAAATCTGTGAGCCGGAGGCTAAAAAACTGTGAGCTAGCTCACACTAACTCAGCTTAGAGGGAACACTGGTGGCCACCCAGTTCCTCTAGATGGCCAACAGCAGGGCATAGAGGTCAAGGCCTTCCCCTGATGTTGCTCCTGGCTCTGTTTGGTGTAGTGGTTAAGTGCGCAGACTCTAATCTGGGAGAACCGGGTTTGATTCCCCACTCCTCCACTCGCACCTGCTGGATGACCTTGGGCAAGCCATAGTTCTGATAAGAGCTGTTCTTGAAAAAAGAGTAGTTTTTGTCAAGAGCTCTCTCAGCCCCACCGACCTCACAGGGTGTCTGTTGTGGGGAGGGGAAAGGAAAAGGAGTTTGTAAACCGCTCTGAGACACCTTTGGGTAGTGAAGGGCGGGGTATAAATCCAATCTCTTCTTCTCTTCTTCTTCTCTAGGATTCAGAGGCTTAGTGTCTCTGAATGTGGAGGGCCCCCACAGTCACTATGGCTAGTAGCCATTGATAGACTTATCCTCCATGAATCTATCTAATCCCCTGCTTTGAAGTTACAGAAACAGTATTTTTACCATAGGCTCATCTCTGTTCCATGTACTTTACAAAACAGCACAAAATTTATAATATGGTGGACATGCTACCGCTAAGTAAAAGTGGCTACTTTGACAGCAGTCGTATTAAAAACTCAATAACATCTTTTCAGAAATTCAGAAGCATAAAAGTGAATAAGCAAGCATAACGGCACTGAAAAACTGGAGCCTGTAAATGATCTCACTGCCTATCTATAGAATTTGGAAGATTACAAAATATACATTCATGCATTCTGTCAAAATATACAAAATTAACTTAAGTATGCTGTAGAAGAATTTCTGATGGGATGAGAAGGAGGTGAGCCACCATTCCTTGTCCTAATGTGTTGTCAGATCAGAACACAAATCGAGGTATAAATCAGGGCAAAGCCCTGGAAACATTAAATACAGGGGAAAAGTTTCAGCTTCACAGTAGATGTGAGCAGTACATTGATGGAAAGATAAAAGACAGGAGAACAAAACAAGATCTAGTTCTTCATGTTCTTCTCTGTAAAAAAAATTCCCCTTAAAGGAGAAGGTGGAAAAAAGATACTTACTAGTGTCATGACACCTAGTCTATCTACTTCCCGAGCTGGACTGTGTGGCATTCGTCGAGGTGTAGAGCGGCCACTGCCAGGTGGAGAAGAGCCAGAAAGGGAACCGCCAGTAAACGGAGGAGGAAGAGAACTCATGGATCGAAACCGACCAAGACTGTCTAAACTCCCACTACCAACACGGCTTTCAATTTCTTCTGCTCGCTGTTCAGTGTTCTCCTTTTCTTCTTGTATGAGTCTAAAGAACCAAGAAATGACTCATTCATTTAAGCAAGGAGATCTGACACAGAGATTAACACAAGTTAGGAACCAATGATTACAAGCAGAACAGTTGTATGCAGCTTTCTCATCAATTCTTAGGTTCTGCACAGGTATTTTTTAAAAAATAAAGTTTTCCAATATATATGCAGGTAAGCAGAGAGAACAGACTGTCTACTAAGAAAAACAGCTAAAATACATAAGTGTTGAATGTACTGTCAACAACACTCCTGTTCCTTTTAGATGGTTAATCTCATTTTTAGACAAAGGAATTTAATAACAGTATTCACTTAAGGAGACACTGCAAAATTGTTTCGCATGTAAAAAAGCAAAAAGGAGACTCCTGAAACAGTATTTTCAGAGAAGAACCATTCACTTTCATTTTTACAGGGCTTGCAAACTGTTACGTGAATTAAAGAGTAGCCTAAAACAGACATTAGTGTTCTTAGTTGCTGTAACAGCATTACAAAATGGTTATAACTCCACATACTTGCCCAGGTTAAAAAAGTACTCTTAAAATTGTTACACTAACATTTTATATAACTGTCAAACAAGCAGGTCATTAGTTATATCAACTACTAAAAGAGATAAGACAGGTGAACTATTCTTCTTTGCACACCCTAATGAAAGTTTTGACAAGTTATATTGTGTTTTACTGTTTATTAGCTCTGAACTGAATGTTTGCTGATTCTTCTTTATTGGTCTAATACATCTCCCACAAATCCTGCCTCTTGGATTGTTCACTGGCTGTTGTGGGGTTTGGGGTTTTTTTGCCCATATACAGCCAGTACTTCTCAATCTGCAGTTGCTTTGGTGCTTTTTAAAAGTAATTCCTTTCTGGAACTAGTTATATAGGCAAGCCAGTCAGTCAGGGATCACATAATACATGCAGCCATTCAAATACATGACAATGTCATTAAGAGTAAACTAAGCTGAGAACAATGGCTTCGTAGCTCAATACTGCCTTCACTTGGTGACTGAACCACTTTTTTCAATTCCACTAAAAAGAACAATGCATACTAATTGGTTTCCATCTTCATAAAACATTCATTTAAAACTGAATAAGGCACAGTACCTGTTTTAAAAATTGTAACAAGCCTTTATTATTTTAGAAAATGGTATTCAATTCTTTTTTTAGATAAACAATACACAGGACCTCAAATAAGGTCTATTTTGCACACTGAAGCCATGACAGATTTTTCTAGGCAGGTGGCTGGTTGAAATCAAGAATAGAATGTGCTCCCCCTGCCAGTGTTCCTTTCTGCTTGAATCTCCCCCTACTCTTTTGAGAACTGACCTGCCCACTCCATTCGTAAAAAGATAATCTCAACCAGAAACAAGGACTGATTATTGTTCTCCATAAAATGAAAGGCAAATGCCCATGGCTGATCAGTAGGCAAGCAGAGTCAAACTGCAGATCTCAGCCAGTTCCTAGACATAGAAGAGGGGTAAAAGGTCACTCCAGTGTATCAGCAGATGATACCTGGGACAACATGCCAGTCTTGGGGCTCCCCCATATAAAGCCATAATGAATGCATGAATTAGTACTCTAGATGACTGAAGATTTTTCCCATGCAGTTCTTCTCTACAAAGAAAAGTCTTCTCTCGCAAGCATATCACGCATTTAGTTTTCAGAAACACAGGTTTGTATTAAATTCAGATTTTGTTTTAGAACAGTGTATTTTAGAAGAAAAAAAAGCTGAAATTCATCATTATTGTCCATAGTTTTTATGTGGTGAGGGTTTTCAACATGTTGATATAGGCTTGCCTTTCACGTCCATCTATGCATGTCTTCTAAATGAACCTATGCTTCTCTGGAATATGTGCCTACACATTCAGATCTGCCTGTAGTATACCAATGTCCTGTCTTAAACACCACTGAGAAAAATGCAGGCAGTGAAGTAAAATGCCCCCCCCCCCCGGGGGGGGGGGGGGTGAACTTATGCTACAGACAACAAAACTTGAGTCTCCTATCAGCTTCTCTTCTTTGCTACCTGTCTTTAGGGCCAATGGATTAATACTGGCAAAAAATAACACAGACCTTTGGCTACTTTATCAACAGCTTTGGCCAACTGATGAAGTACAACAATGACACTTACACACAAAACAAAAATTGTGTCAGTTAAAGATGAGAAAGCCATAATTTTATACACTCAGAGGCAGAATCTAAGCTGCAACAGAATTACTAATTAATTCTAAATATAAAATTAAAAAGTGATAAAATATAAGCCATACCTAATTTCTTTGTTAATGGCATCCAGCTGCTCCTGAAGCATCATGGCTAAAGTCTGGGCATCTGCCTGACCACTAGGTGACAGGAGATCAACTGAACTGAATATTGTTTCTCTGTCATCTTCACCATCAGAGATGTCAACATCACTCTCAAAGGCCTGTGCAACATTTGCTAGCACACTTGCTTGTTGTGCACGCTCCCAATCTTGTTCATTTAGAGTCTGAACCTGTTTAACACACATGACCACAATCTGAATTACCAGTTTCTTTCTATTAAGAAATATAAATATAAAATGAATCTGACATCACTTACATGCTGTAGGTTATCCATCAATGTTTAGAATGCAATAAAACCAAAACATCAAACATTACTACAGCATAGTGATATGAATCTAACATAGTTGTACAAAATACGCACTAACATATACATTCTACCTTATAGTAGCATGACAGAAGTATCTGTCGCTTCAGTACCTATAGCAAAATCTTCAGCGTTTTTAATCTGTGCAAGCTAGGTACAGAAAAGACTTTATTCCACAGATGCACACACACACACACACACACACACACACACACAGAGTACAGGGAACTATGTACACCTGCTCAATAGCTGGTTAATTGCCTGTGGGGTGTGGCATCACACAATTTTTAGCACTGTCAAAGCCAACACTGCCATCTGATTAGTGCTGCACCCACAATCCCAATGCAGCCATGAAACCAGATGCAGAACTGTAGGATACCGCTGAATCACATTCGGCAGTCAGTACTTCTAATCTGCCAAATAGTTTACAGTTCAAGTAAATACATGTCTACTCAAAAATAAGTCACTCATAGGCATGGAAGATTTCCTTAAATATGTTGGAGTTTAAGGACAAGAGTGATTTCTACAACGTTACTCTAATAGTACTTTTTAAATGTTCTCCTACCTTAGAAGGCTCATCTCGCAGAGCAGCCAAACGGCCTTTCTGCGGACGTCTTAACACAGAAGTGCTGTAAGAATCTGTCTGGCTGTCAACAATAGCCGCAGGTGCTAGTGGATATCTAAAATCTGGTACAATGCCCAAATTTGACCGACTGGAACAAAAGCAGACACCATCTTTAGTGTTACTACAGACACTGCTAAAAACAGGGAACAAATGCATTCATTAGCTTAATAATCTAGCACAGAAGTCTTTTCATTAAAACTTATACCTATGATGAAGGGAAGAGCCCCTGATCCTCATCTGATCATTTTCAGCCCTCAGTGCTTCAATGCTTAATACTAGCTGATCCTACAAAGAAAAAGAAGTTCCAAACAAATTCATTTCACTATGTTTTCTCCAACATAAGCACACAGATTTTATGTGAACACAGATTTAGCACTGAAGCACTTTCAGATCCCAGGGTCTAATCATTACTTCAATAAAAAAATGTTCCTGGAAAAATGGTTCAGTCCTCATTTGTTTACTGTCAGAATGGCTCTGAATAAATGTGCTACCCTTCTGATTCCTGAGTGTAAATTTTGAAGGAATGGCCAGTGAAGCAGAAAGATACCCTCAGAGGGTATGAGAGGACTCTGGGTTCTGTTTTCATTGCTGCAAGGTGGGAACAGTCCAAAGTTCTGGGAGCAGCTCTAAACACAACAAGCATCAACTGGGTATGTGTCATTGTTATTTATTTTAAATTTTAAACACACATGTATTACTCTCATGCACTGAGTTGCTGCAGCCTGATTAGCATGCGATTCAATGGAGTTTACAGAATGCGAAAACATCTTGCCTAGTTCTAACTTTCAGAGCCTTTTGTTATTGTTTGGATCCTGACAAATGTATTCATACGAATGAAACAGAGTTTTCTTCTGGCATACAGGTAAGAGAGAACTGCTGTAAAATGGTGCATCAGTGACAATTAACACCAAATAGATACTCTAAACTTCCTCTCTTAGTTAGGGATGGGCACAAACTGGCTGATGAACTAAAGATCACCATGAATTTTGCCTGTTTGTGGTTTGCAAGCCAAAGTTCATGAACTGAAGAACTGGGATAAATTACCATGAATTCCAGTGCAATTCATGGTGGCTCATGACAGCTCAGAGCCATTTAAACCCTGCTTTCAGCTCCCCACAGCTTTTCGCGGGAGCAGAAAGCAGGTTTTAAATGGCTCAGAGCCATTTAAAACACCATTGCTTTCTGCTCCATGCGACTTTCCACCAGGAGGAGGAAACAGGCTCCTTGTGGTTTTTCACGGGGAGTAGAAAGGGCCATTTTTTGCTTTTTACTCCCCGTGAAAAACTGCAGGGAGCAAAAAGTAGGGTTTAAATGGAAGGGGTGAAGTGCCTTCCTAGGGCACTTCATCCCCACCTTTCTGCTGGCCATGGGACAAGATGGGGATCACCATGGCCAGCAGAAGGGTGGAAGGGACACTCCTCCTTTTTGCTGGCCACTGTTTTTCAGGCTGTCTTCTGCAGTCCTTTTAAAGTTTAAAGGAACCACAGAAGACAACCCAAAACAGCTGAACTGTTTTTCAGGCTTTCTGCAAACCCCGCTGAAAGGGACTGCAGTACCTTTGAACAGGGTTTGGAGGACCACAAACCGCATGAGCCGGTTTGGTTTGTAAACAAGCCTTTCGGTTCAGGGTACAGTTTGTGGTTCAGTCACAAACCACAAACCAAACTGCCTTTTCTCGGTTCATGCCCATCCCTACTAAGTGCTAGATTTGTACCTCTGCAAAAGCATACTACATTTATATGTTGTGGTCATGCCCAAGGGTTCAACTTATTGGCAAACAGTACAAATGACTATTTTTAAAGAGTCCATGATTTTAAACCTGAAACTTTATCTCTTAAATTGTGTCAGTATCATAGCTACTGATCCCTGAGATGTGTTACTGTATTGCGTTGACTCTGCAATGATGGTATCTGCTCATTATTTGAAACAGAAGTTGCCCAGCAAATTAGAATGCTTTATAAAGATGCTGGAATTATCAGTAGTCAAACTAACAGCAATTCAAAATTCTAGTAGTGTTTTACGATGACTATAATTAGTAAAAACTAGCTGCATTTTTAACAAATCCTGAAGCTGTGAGAAATGAATGGATAAGAAAGGAATAATAACTGTACATTCTTTTCCTTCATTTTTAATTTGTGAACAAGACGTGTTGTTTGCTCTGGGTACTGTATACTGATTACATATTATTGCATTTTAATAGAAAAAGTTTAAAAAATTATCTTTCATGTATGTTTTCTTAATGTTAACAGTAATTCATTCAAATGTCACAACTTTATCAAATATATTTTTAATTGTATAACAGCTATAGCTTTACTTTATAGCTGTTTTATTTTCAGCCAATACCTTCTCATTTTGGAGCTCCTCAACTTGTTTCTTAACATTTTCAACTTCACGAAGAAGAGCATTCTGGAAAAAGAGATTAATTCACAAGGTTCTTAATGGTTAAGAGGTTCAATTCTTGACATTTTTAAGTTCAGAAATTTTACTATAAAGTTATATATACTAACTACTTTTCAAAAATAATGTTTTACTTTATTAAACTTTTAATTTCTCTGGCTCCTTCTGTTCAGCAAGATTCCAGAATATTTAATAGATACCAGAATATTTAATAGATATATTTCTCTGTCTGGTTTTGATCTACATTAGCACTAATGTCCAGCTATTTATATCATCCTGTGGCTGCTTCTTGGTCTCACTATAAATAGTTGGATTAATGTCTATTTAAAAACATATTGTTAAAATGAAACTATTGCATTTCAACCAATGATCATAGTATTTGCAATTACTTTATCTTCCAGAGCAGCCATTCTTTCTTTAAGATGAAGCTGAAGTCTCTCATTAGATTCAGACAGAAGTTTGTCAACAGTATCAGATAAACGTTTATTATGTTCCTCATTCATTTTCTCTCTTTGTCGAGCCTAGACAGACACAGTAAGAAAAAAAATGGTTCATAAAGTTTACCTTCCTACTATTTTTACACACATAGAACTGTCAATGATTTTCTATGAGTTTGCCTGCTCCTCAGTTATGGAACTAGTGAAGACAACAAAATATGTTGCACGTATTTCCGTGGTTTTCTACTGTAATGTACAAGTTTTTCCAAACTCTACAAGCTTTATACTACTCAATGAGAGTTGCGACCGGGCCTGCCCAAGGTTAAAAAATACAATGGGTCTAATGCGGGTGTTTGAAAGTCTCTCAAGCTGTTTGGTCAATAATGATGCAAGAGGCTCCTTCAATAATAATGTAATAAAATAAGTCATTTTAGTTAAGGTGGCTGACTTTGTTCTAAGAGGGAGGGAAAACACAAGCACAGAATTTATTTGCTCTGTGGTGGTTTCCCTTTGTTACATTCTGGAACAGGAATTTTCCACTGAAATGTATGAGGAAAAAAGTACTGGACTGGATTTGAGAAACGGTTATGGATGGATCTGGAGAGGTTACTGTATGTTGGGAGTCATTATACTCACTGATGTATTTTTCTACTTTAAAAGAGGGGGGGGGGAAGAGGGGGGACATCATCTTGGCCACCTTCCTGAGCAGTTGCTATTCCAGGTACTGATACAATGCTTGGGCAAGAGCCTGAGGGCTTGGGCCATGGTTTATAGCCAGTACTTTTGGAAGAGCCATCTACAAAATTCTGGACTGGGCCTGAAATACAGTTTAATGTTCTGTTTGTCAGTTAATTTACATCTGACAAAGGGAGCTCTGACTCTCAAAAGCCTATACCCCCAAATCTTGTTGGTCTCTAAGGTGTTACTAGACTCAAATCTAGCTGTTATACTGTTCTTTCTTCTTGTGAGTCACTCTGGACCCCTCAGGGAGAAAAGTGGGAAATAAATATTGAAATAAACAAATAATTATCTATTAGGTCAGAGGTGTCAAACTCATTTGTTACAAGGGCCAGGTCACTTATGCCATAAAACAATGCCAGGCCCTGGAGATATAAACTGTATAAAGGACAGCCGCTCATAAGCTCTGAGTTGGTGTATCCTCACTGCAAGGCCCCATGGCCTGGGAGGGGTGCGCAAAGGAAAACCCATATGGGCAGGCTAGAGAGGCAGCAGTGCAGCACTAGGCAGATACTCCCACGATGCTTGACTGCTGCAGATGAGGTTGTTCCACCGTGCTGAAGCCACAATGGAATGGCTCCCCCCCAGCACTCCCTCCCTTGTACCAGTTGTTCCCGGGCAGTATAAGAGCCATGGACAGGCTGGTTCTGGTCCCCAGGCCTTATGTTTGACACCCCTGTATTAAGTAAAGCTTACTTAACACTACTTTGCTTAATTGTGCACAGAATACAAAGCTATACTTCTCACTGCGAGCATACATCATCATTAGAGAGATGAAGGGAGGGGCTGTGGCTCAGTGGAAGAGCCTTTGCTTTGCATGCAGAAGTTTCCAGAGTCAATCCCCAGCATCTTCAGGTATAGGACCAGGCAGGAGGGGACGTGAAAGACCTCAGCCTGAGGCCTTGAAGAGCTGCTGCCTGTCTGAGTAGATGACACTGACTTTGATGAATTGATGGTCTGATTCAGTATAAAGCAACTTCATGCATGTGTGAAAAGAAAAAGACAGATACCGGTTGTCACTGCCAAGACATACCCTTAGCAATTCCTGGTTCTTCTCCTCTAGCTGTGCTTCCATCTGCCTCAATCGTTCTTCAATGTTACCATGCCTTTCTTCAGCCTGCCATTTTAAAAATCATACTGTAGTGATTTTAAAAATCGGACTGTAGTAAAAATCTCAATGTACTGGAAAAAATTATTAGCAAGCAAGCATGTCATGCTTTATGCAGTTCTGCTCACACACCGCAAGATGTTTAACTGCTAATTCCCAGCCAAACAAGGAATGGATTCATGTATCAAATGAGCAACTAACCCTTGTACCCTGGAACATCTTGCTTTGGTGACTGATGGTAAATGAAAGTCTCAGCATAAAATAATTCACTTTTCTCACAACAAAAGAAAATGCATTCACTCTATATTGCCCCATCCCATTGTCTCTAATTTTAGAACTAAAGGGGGGGGGGGAGCAAGAAGCAGCAAGCAGAAATAAGGACATCTGTCCTTTGTGCAAATTCTACCTTCCTAAGCTTGGAAGTATGTTCCAACACTTTAGCATCTTTAGCTGTAGAGATCCCAGAAGACAAATGGTCAGGCTAAAAAGCCAATAAGGAACAGGAAAGGTAACAGAAGAAACAAGAATGAAGACTAAGAAAGGCACCATCAACCCATTTGTAACTATTCAACATTACATGGCTTCAGGATATAGATCTACTTCCAACAGAAATCAGAGCAAGACTTTATAACAAAACTTACAAAAGAGCTGTCCAAGCAATCTCTAAAGATTAAAAAGCCAAAAAATATTTTAATGAATTGTTCACATATTAAAGAACTAGGAAACAGGATAACACAAAGTACAGTTATCTGGGTTTTTGAGTGACCCAGCAGAAGAAAAATAAATGAGTAGGACATAAGAAAAAAATTTACTTCGTAAGAGAGCAAGTTGTTTCAGTTGAAGAGAAAAATGTTTTTCACTGTATTACACACTGTATTCCTACCTTAGTAAGTGCTGCAACTCTCTGAGCCAGTTCAGCCTCTACCTCTGGCAGAGTTTCAGCTTTTCTCAAAGTCTGTTGTAATTTTTGCTCAGCTAGTTCCAGTCGTTCTTGCAACTGTCTATTCTTATCCTCACTCTAAGGCAAGAACACAGAAAGTTTGTTTGCATATATTCACTGCTGCAGGCAAAATACTGATCTATTTGAGACGCTCCTTTGAACTGTTTTCTTCTCTGGTGGGAGTCATAGTATAAGCAAAGACTACAACATATAAATATTGTTGAGCACAGATTTTGTGAGGCATATGTTGGAGTTTCAGAGATGATAGACGCTGCCTCATACATTACACTGCTCACACAAATAATACTATTTCTATGGGCACACGTATTAAAAAAATTCAGAGAACGATTTTTCCAGCATGAATAGATATTATGAATGCAAGAGTGGAACATGTAGGTTAGATGAGGATTTTATAATTAAACTATGCTCTTTAACATGCTGTTCTAGATCATAATGCTGATAGCTGTTGTCCTCATCATCATAAGCAGCTTTGTTCTTCAGATCATGCCCAGATACGTACAAAGCCTCTCAGTAAATTAGTTATACCAGCAGCAAACTTAGAGTAGCCTGGCAACCAGTGAGAGAACAGGTGGGGTGGGACATGGGAGGGGTTTTCCCCCAGAAGTGACTTCATACCTCTAGGAATCACAGGAAACTCTCTGATAAAACTATATTTTCCAGTGATTCTAAGGGAGAACTGATGTCACTTCTGGGGACTGGGAAGTAACATCAGTCCTCTGTAGGAATCTCCAAAAACCTCTATGGTTTTACCATAAAGCTTCTGGTGATTCCTAGAGAGGTATGACATCATTTCATTTCCTGGTTTTCTTGGAAGTGACATTACATCATTGCTGACAGTGATTTTTTAAAAAAACTATTTCAACCATTGGCTACTGGAGTGCTTATGGATGAGGAGCAATTGGGGCAGAAGATCTTGCTGGGGCTACCCTCAGCAAACTAAGAATTTGCCATATGCTGCCAAGCAACTGAAACAAAGGCACTTTATTGCCTCATTTAAGCCTGTGCTCTCTTGCTGTATCTTGTTAGATTAGGCACCCTCTTTTCCATTCAGGACATCACCAGTCAGAGCTAGACAGACCTGCCAATTCCTTAATATATATGGTTCAGTCGTATTCATTCAATTTCATCTGAATTTCATAGCCTTAAATAATAGCCAAAAATTATTCTTAAACACAAGAGTAAATGCTGAAACAGAGGTTGTATCCTGCCATTCTGCTCAGTGAAGTATGGATCCTTCCTCCAGGACTAGCAACTTTCCACCAGTGAAAGCCTCCACACTTAACTGAGCAGAATTTTAGGACATAACACATTAACATGCCTCTGAAAGAGTGACTGCCATGTTACTTGCACTACTGCAAAGGGGTCTCTGTCCTCTGTCCTGTATCGAATATACTTGGCATATAACAGGACACTACCATAACTTGAAAACAACTTTATATTATTCATTTAAACAACAGAACTACCTGTCGATGCAGAGAATCTTTATTAGCAATTTCATTTTCAAGTTTATCATTGAGGTCATGCACAGATGTAGTTTCACGTTGTGCAGCGAGGTAGCGTTTTTCAAGGGTTGTGATACGCTCTTCCATATCTTCCTTTTGAGCCATGGCCTAAAATTAAAATTACTTGTTGGGAGATTAAGAAATACATGGTTCCTATTTTCTGTTTTTTGGTTGTTTTTTTATAAAATTTGCTCTCCATTAATAGATGTGTAACAAGCAATCTTGAAAGTTGGGTGTAGGAAAAAAACCTAGAAAATGCTTACATGATCCATTTGCAATAACTGCAATTTGCTTAATTCAGATATGTAATGAACAGTGCTTTACTCAGCCCTCACAGTGACCTTTTTGTAACTGTTCAATGGAGGGATCTTCCCTAAATTGGGAGGGATTAATCCTTCTCTTCCTGTCTAGAGTTTCATTGACTGGCCATTACCTACTTTGGAGAGAAAACGGCAACCAAATGGCAGGGATCTGTGAGGAATTTAAAAAACCCTCCCTCTCCCAAGCTTTATATACTATTCCCTGGGGTCAGTTAGCAGGCAGCTGCTGCTGGTGGGAAATGGGCCTTAATGCTGGGGAAGCACTGACCACGCCAGCCTGTTCTATGGAAGGACTAAGGGCATCTAAGTTGAGTTAAGGAAGAAGTTCATTTCAGATGAATTAGGAAACATTTTAATTGTTCTGCCTGGTAACCTTCAATCTACTGGAGTGCTTATTTTTTTGTTTGCTTTTTGGCCAAAACTCCCATTTGGGATGCCTTTCTTTTCATGAGACAAGTTACTTGCAACTTTTTTGGGGGTACCTTTTGAATTGTCAGTCACCTTGAGTCCCACTAGGCAGAAAGGCAGCTAATAGATGCAATCTTTTAATAAAATCTTTTAAAGCTGCTGGGTTTCTTTGTATGCCTCAGGCTCGGTGGCTGAGCCAGGCAGCTCCCTTTGAAATACAAGGGGCTTTGCTAAGGGAATTCGAGTGGGAAGTGAGGTAACCTGCCCCCCCCCTTAAGTAAAAGAAGTTAGTGATATTGCACAGGGTTCAACTGTTCAAAGGAAAAGTGTCAGGAATTACACTGGGCTAGTGTAAACATATGTAAGCCTAAAATGCAATCCTATGCAAACTTACTAAGCAGTAAGCATCACTGAACAAAGTGGGACTTACTTCTGAGTAGACATACACAGGATTTCACTGTAGGCTGGTCTTTGAATCCTGGCCTATATGCTGACGCAACCCTAGGCCTGTGTTCATAGGAGGACCATTCTAGGATCCACCAATATTTATTTTACTGAATTTTAAGTCTATATACCAGACACAAAAATACAGAATCATCAAACAGACCTACATTAAGTAATTTCTTAGCAGCAAAACTTTAAAATTTACACTATTTTCAAAGTCTCCACAATAGATTTTTTAAATCATAAGGAATGCAGCCAACTCTAAATGCAAGTTAAAGCATTTTCACTTCAGAGCTCATAGCTAAACAAAATGTCATAGACAGCAATATTATCTCAGTCCTTCCAAACCACAAAAAATTTAGGCCAAGGGCCAATTAAAATCACAGAACAATGACTACTAGTTAAAAGCAACACTGTCTCACCTCTCGTACATCTCTTTGCAGCTTTGTATTCATTTCTTCAGATTTTATTAAATCTTTTCTAGCAGTGTCAAGATCTTCTTCCAGTTCTGCTACTCTGTTAGAAAGGGTAGTGATACGTTCTTTCATTTGAGCTTGCTCCTTAGTTTGCTTCTCGATAGTATCTTGAAGTTCTATTACTTTAGCAAGGTCTTCATCTTGACTTAGAGAGCCATTGGAAGATCTCTGCGGGGGGAGGGGTGAAAATTTATTTTTATTCTTTAAAACTTCAGCACAATATACAATTAACTGAACACTAATAATTCCCCAAATTCAGCCATAATGATTCAAGCGTGGAGAAAAAGTTAAAACTGAGAGCACAGTCACTTGCTACTTTCCAGGGAGAAGTCTCAATTCAAAACTAGTTCTCAAAGGCCCCTCTCCTGAGGGTGAAAATAAAGGTAAGTAAGGGAGACATTCAGATAAATGTTGTATATATAATCAATTATTAATTTTTTCTGGTAGTGACAGGATGGTCCTGGATGTGCACTTCCGTGTGCGTATCCAAGAGCAGCACCATGCTCAGATCTCTTCACAGAAAGTAATGGATGAAAAGGTCCTAGAATAAACAGTTTTGTACCTACCTTCCCATTAGTGCTAGGTGTATTTTCCTGATCATGATTAACATCAGGCATCCCATCAGCCTGTGTTCTTTTCTGATTGTTTTGTTCTTTCAAAATCATTAACTGAAACATGAAAATAAAACATTGCATCGATTTACGTACATCAAAAGGATATTAATTTTGAAATAGAAAAGAAGCTTCTCTGGGGCCATGGTATTTAAGAGATGTCCATATGAATGTGACTGGTGAGTAAGATCTTCGGTAGAGGCCCTGTCCTCACAGGAGAAAAAAGGCCTTCTTTGAAGGACCACCTTGATGTGGAACCCTCTCCTACAACTTAAGTTTCAGACATCTGGTGAACATTTTTTGTTCTCTCGTGGTCTTGCTTT